CCCCACGCTCCTTATTTTTTGCAGACTTCACACAAACAGAACCCGCAAGGAGTCCGACCCATCGGAACCGCCGCCAATCAACGTAACACAGCTAAACCCCATATGGTCACAATGCAAGCCGGCGAGCATTGGGCTCGGGGTATCATATTCCCGCAACATGATTATGTCGGGAGATTGTTCCCGGCCTTGCCCGCGGTCTCTGGGGAGCAGCCCCGGATAGGAACTACTAAGCAGCATTTAGCAGCAAGCAGCAAAAACATATTTTTTAAAACTTTGACAGAATAAAGCCTTAGTTATTTTAATAAACACGTTTTTTCAGTAAATGGTTGTTCATGCCCATGTGCACAATCAAACATGCTAGTGGTGATAAACACTGAAAAAACATGTTAATTAAAATAACTAAGGTTCTGTTGGTTACTGAGTACTGTACAGTTGCAATATTGGATGTCTGACCCGTCATTCAGTTCAGCAGTAGGTTATAAAGAATGTGTAAGTTCATCTACAATACCTCGCACCGGGCTGTGGTGTCTTCGGGCTTATATCTAACGTGGAGTCCCGGTATTGGTCGGGGTTGCTGCCTCACATTGCCGGTTCACCAGCGGGGCGTGACACATACATCATTGTGATAGGCATATCCACTTTATTCGGACTTGGCTATTTGACAGTTTACACAGCCAAAGGGAAACCTTTGGCAGAAATGATCCAGAGAGGGACATAAGCATTAATATAACTCACAGATTTTTAATATCAATTTCCATGTAATGGTAAAATTTGCTTTGTACAGTGCTTTTAGTATTCCTGATTTTATGTACTATAATTCATACAGGTCCTGAGGACCCCAGTCCTTATTGAGCCCACATCTCCAGTTCCCAGTCCTTATTGAGCCCACATCTCCAGTTCCCGGTCCTTATTGAGCCCACATCTCCAGTTCCCGGTCCTTATTGACCCCGCGTCTCCAGTTCCCAGTCCTTATTGAGCCCGTGTCTCCAGTTCCCAGTCCTTATTGACCCAGCGTCTCCAGTTCCCAGTCCTTATTGAGCCCGTGTCTCCAGTTCCCAGTCCTTATTGACCCAGCGTCTCCAGTTCCCAGTCCTTATTGAGCCCGTGTCTCCAGTTCCCAGTCCTTTTTGAGCCCGTGCCTCCAGTTCCCAGTCCTTATTGAGCCTGTGTCTCCAGTTCCCAGTCCTTATTGAGCCCACATCTCCAGTTCCCGGTCCTTATTGACCCCGCATCTCCAGTTCCCGGTCCTTATTGAGCCTGTGTCTCCAGTTCCCGGTCCTTATTGAGCCCATGTCTCCAGTTTCCTATCCTTATTGAACCCGCGTCTCCAGTTCCCTATCCTTACTGAGCCTGTGTCTCCAATTCTTGATCCTTATTGAACCCATGTCTCCAGTTCCCAATACTTTTTGAGCCCATGTCTCCAGTCTCCGGTGTTATTGAGCCCACATCTACAGTTCCTGGTCCTTACTGAGCCTGCGTCTCCAGTTCCCGATCCTTCTTGAGCACGCATCTCCAGTTCCTGGTCCTTACTGAGCCTGCGTCTCCAGTTCCCAGTCCTTCTTGAGCATGCATCTCCAGTTCCCAATCCTTATTCAGCCTTATTCAGTTCCCGGTCCTTACTAAACCTGCGTCTCCAGTTCCCAGTCCTGATTGAGTCTGTATCTCCAGTTCCCCATCCTTATTAAGCACACATCTCCAGTTCCTGGTCGAGAGAGTGCCTGCTTTCTGCCAGGGTCAAAGCCTGGAGGTGGAACTCCACCTGAGCCTCCTGCACCCAGTCCAGAAGAAAAAGCTCCATCCAGGTCACTGGTGACCAGTTTGGAAGGTGCTGCTCTGCCACCAGTGTGTAACATTTTGCCTATAGTTCCACTTGCTTCACTAGTGCCTGACTCCCCAGCTGCTACATGTGTAGCACCTGACTCCAGGCCCAGAGGAGGCCAATTAGCTTGAGTCTCCAGCACCAGGCCCAGAGGATGCAGCTTTGCCAGTGCCAGAATCATTGACCTCCATGTCTACAGTTTTGACCCCCTAGGCCACTGTGCCGTGGTGCCTGATGCCTCATCTGTTCTCTTGCTGGTGTCCACCTCACCTAGTTATCGCTGTATGTATATGCCTACCCTTAACATGGTCCCCAGTTCTGTCATCATTGCTTTTATCATCGGTGCTCCGAGTTGGTCCGCATTTGTTAATTGTTTGGCTTCTCCAATAAAGTCCCTTACAGTTTGTCTAGGTACAAGGGCTGCACCTGGATTGCTTACTCCTTCCCTTTCCTTCTGACATGACACTTTCCAATGAACTATTACATACACAATAAATCAGGAGCATTTAACGGGCGTTCGAAGATGGGAGAGAAGCACACATGGATTATGCTGTCTATGTGTATCTTCTCTTACATTTTTTTTGTCCGAATTGATTAATAAAAACCTTAAACCTCAGATTCCCACAATGATTTTGCTGTGTCCCACATAGGTATTCTGAAGAGCATGAGTATATTTACACTCAAAAATAATAGAATGAACGGATTGTCTATTTGCACCCAGGTCCAAATAGCATCTAGCCATCTGCTGGCCTGTTTACTCTTGGTCTCCTGAGTCCCCACCCCCTAGTTCCACAAAAAGCATAAAAACTATTTGCATAGTAGCACGTCACTTCAGCGGCTGAAGGCGGCAAAATGGGATACAAATATAAAAGGTATAATAATAATAATAATAATGTAGCATCATTGGATGCTGACACTTTTGTGCAAATAGCATCTGCCTAGAAAATGCTTATCTACATGCAAAGCCCACTAATGGAACTAAACAAAAGTAAAAGATTCAGGAGGGAATCAGCATTACTGCTGGCTATGATTTTAATTATTAAAAATATAACTGCATTGCATGCAAAAACATGCCTCACACTGTTTTTAAATGATTTGTCAGCTAACCATTCTCTTAGTGATGTATTTGGTCAGCATTTTGCCAAACAGATGTAAGTTATCATAACTCAGTGCTGTGAATATGAATGAGGCCTTTAATGTCTTCCTAAAACAGGACAATATAATTTTTTTTGACAGAAAAATACGAACATGATATAAACACAAAGTGAATTACAGATATGATGATGAAAGTTACTGGCCTGTGGGGAGTGTTATTTTTAAACAATAAACTCAAGAATATTCAACATCAATATCCTCATATGTTGGAAAAAGGAAATCCACTATACAAACCTATATAAACCTAGTATAAACTCACTATATGTGATTTTTAGGGATGATTTTATCATATCCCAAGATGAGTACCTAGACCCATCATAGTCCAGATATCACCTCCACTTTTGGATCAAACTGTTTATAATTTCTATATTAAATTTAAATGATTAGACATTTTGCATGCTCCCCACCAAAGGAAAATAATACAACCATGCTTAAGTATAGAATAAATGCTAAGTATAGAATAATAGCTCATTTGAGTGAACATGACAAATCCTGCCTCCATCTGTCTCATATCAGCCTTTGCTTTAACTAATTACTGCAATATCTCTTTGCTAAGATCCAAATTGCAGAATGATTTTTATGTCTTATTGGAAATTTAATGCAAGCTTATTGGAAATTTGATTGCACCCTTTTGAAAAATTATATACTTTCTAATCAAATTATTGCAGTGTTTAACAATAGACCTGATTGAGAATTATTATCTGTTGCAAGCACACTGAAATTGTGCCTTTGGTCATTGGAAAAAGTGAATTGTATTGTTATTCTTTTTTATAACTTGAACAAAAGTAATGCTATGTTGGAGAACCATTATAAATATGTATTTCATTTGTTAAAAGGCAAAAGAGGTAGCACTGTAGCATGCAAAATTTTATGTGAACAAATTTGTTCTCACTGTTTCACAAGGTCAACGTGGATTCATCTGTGTCTATATGCATTAATCTGTGAACATGAGTATGGTGATATTATGATTTAGTTAATCGAGCCCAGTCAGAGAGAAAGGCCAGCAATGTTAATAATATAAATACAACAGTATATACAATACAATCATATGAAATACAGAACCTGTCTTTTGGGGATTTGGAAAAGAAATTATAACAGTACAGTAGCTTCAGTTAGGGGAGCACAAAGCCTGAAGTTTTTAACAAAGTTTATAATAAGGTTTACAATTCTGTTGGTTGATAATTTCTCATTTAAAACTGTAAAAGTGAAGCAAACTCCTCCAGAACTGCTTTAAGGGTTGACTAGTTCTGCATTCAGAAAAACATCTCTGTACATCAATTTTACTGCACTTGTATCTTTCCTGTTAGCATTAAGGAAGATTTAATAGTAATATGTTATTTCTTAATAAAGAACTAAACATTTAATGGGGTGTCCTAATTTTTTCCCATGACTGTAACTAAAGTAAACTGAGCAAATTTGTTATTTAAGAAGAGTGCATCAAACTGGTAGCCCTTCGTATGGCTCAGTACCCGTGAAGTAGCTCTCAGTTTCAAAAAGGTTGGTGACCCCTGCTTTAGACACTATACTGTGTGAAAATTCCAGTATGGTGCCTGTTTCTGACTGCCTGGAACCAGCATGTCTGGTACTAACGATCATGCTTTGTTCAAAATATTTTAAGTTAGGCATAATACTTAATCAAACTCTAAGTGAACCTCCTGACCCTGTACTGTATGTCTTCAGCTGCAGCTCCATGATTCGCTGTTTGGAGGATCAGGCTGTTTGCATTTATAAGCATCTGGCTGCTAAGTATACAAGCATGTATACAAAGTAAGCTTCTTATAGATTAACTGTGACAATACAGAATCCTTGACTTGATTTGACTAGACTTGACAAAAAAAAGAAAATCCAGCCATTTGTATTTTTAGAATGTCTTTGATGTTATTTATGGAAAATTTAAAAAATATACTAAAAACATCTCATAATTATAAATTCATTTTGAAATGTATTTATTGAATTTTAAATATTTTGTTTTTAAATTATTGATGGACACATTTTAGTAACCGTCTACTAATATTCCTAATATTAGGAAATAATAAAAGCAGACACTTCTTAATGAACACTTAAGTTTCCAATTAATAATGAGCAGATGACATGAGACTAACCGGTGATATGGACTGGACATAAATAACAAAGCCGTATGAAATCATCACCCATGCAGTGGTACTTATTCACACGCCAGTTTGCCGTCAAAGGAGGACAGTGTGATGGCAAAGGCCTGAAGAGCACACAGCGGGAAGCTGTAATCCATGGAGAAGACATTGTCTGAAACACGGCCAAACTGCATGACGATGTAGTCCACTGAAACAAGCAGGGGAAGGATACTGATTAAAGGCCGAAAAGGGACAATGAGCAACGTGATAATAGTGAGTAGTGAAAATAGTGATAATCATCCATAATGAAACAAAGAAAATGGTCAATGGGATTTTTACATGTATCCTACATAAATAACATAGATGTTGTCCCCTTCTCTCCGCCTTTGTCTCTTACCATTGTCAGGATGGATGATCTGAAAGTTCTTGACGGAAGCCTGAGTAACACGCCCGTGGAAGTTGAGCACGTAGGACTGTGTCTGTTCGTTCCACACTGGTGACTTATTTCCCAGGCACACCAGGTTGTCCGTATTGCCATTCTCATAACGACAGGTCAGCGACTCAAGCTCCTGGGTGACCAAGGAGATACAGCAGTGGTTAACAGATTCTGTACTTTTTCAATTATCGATATATAGATACATTTCTGACAATACATGAAGTGCAATGTGTCAGTAGTTTTTGTTTTTAGGATATTAAGGCCTGGACATGCTTCTATGCACATGGACTGTATGTTCGCACATCTACATGCATAATACCAGACTGAACAAGGATGTTGCGCCAGTTTGCTGGGGGACTGACAAAATTTTGCTTTTTTCAGATTGTCAAGCCAGTTTGTCAAGCTTTTGAAATTTCCGCATATTTCCTATTTCTGAAGATTTTTTTCTTTCAAACTGGCTGGCCATTTTTTCCAGCCAATTAAGTGATTGAAGACAAGAAAATGCACTAAACCAGCAAAACTTAATTTTTTATGGATGCATAATAAAACAAAAGGGTTGTGGGAGTGTAGGAGAATCATTCCAAATGCGTGAGACTCCCGTGAAATGCACGAGACTTGGCAGGTCTGTAATATGAACACGTTTCGTTATTACTTCTTTGGACATGCCTGTACAATTCACAAATCTACAGGATGCGTGGAAGAAGGAAAGGGCAGTATTGTTGAGGTATCAGAAAAGCTGGCTGCGATTTCACGCTATTTAGCATCGGGCACTTCACAACAGGCTATAGTAGCAACTTACAGACTAGGAAAATCTACCAGAGGTTGCATTGACATAGAGCTACATGTATTGCATTAAACCTAAGATACAATTTCATGACTTTTTTCCAGACAAGTCCAGGAAAAGTGCTATAAAATGGCAATATAAAGAGGACTTCTGAATGACTACATTTTTAGTAAAACAGTATTAGAATTTGTTTGAGACAATTATACTATTTATAAGTCTTCTGTTTATAAAATATTGAAACATGCCATCTCTGTGTTCGAAACAACTTTTCAATCAGCAAATAAACAGGTATCATGATAATAAATATCTGAAACAAAAATATGCACTATATGGGTAAAAGTTTCGGGACACAACTCTTAATCATTGAATTCACCTTTGCAAAGTCTGTTCCCCATCTGATATTAACAAATATAAGTACAGTGGTACCTCAGTTCTCGAACTCATTAGAACTCAAATTTCTTAAAAGTCGAACCAACCAGTTCGAAAAAAAATTATCTAGAACTCGATCTGAATCTCAGAAGTCAAACCGTGAACGCTGACCTAAGACAACTTGTACACGCGGGGAAATTAGTCGCGCGCGCGGCACGTCTCTCAGCAGAAACATAGGGTAATGCTTCAGTCTAAGCCTTGCATTCACTGTGATAGCATCGTGCATGTTTACACTAGCTGAATACATATATTTAGACAGTAAAAATACATTTTGACAATGATAGACAGTAACAGTAATTATTATTATATAATAAAATACATTTTAATATAAAGATTTCTTATTAATTATTTTAATATTAATAATAAACCATTAATACATTTAACTATAATTATATTGTCGTGCCAAGTGGGGACGGAACGGAGACAAAGGCGCAGACGTCAGGGTATCGGGGAATACGGGGTTTAATTACAGGTAAGGCAGGCAAAACGCAGACGGACAATACAATGACCGGGCTGGGGAAACAAAATGAAACGCGGACGAAATACAGAGGACTAATGACAACAACCAGAAACAGCTGATCACACGGTGATTCCACACGAGGTTAACGAGGGAGCGTGGCACACGGAAGGAGCGGGCGATCGGGGCAGGACACATTGTTTGTATTTTTACTTTACACATTGTTTGGATACATTTATTTTCTTACTTTACAATTTACTGTTTTGATAAATGTGCTTAGATGTGTTTAGTACAGTATGGTCTTCTTGTTTTATCCGGTTCATTTTGTGTTTAAATGCTAAAAAAACATATTTAGGTGTAATTTTTGGGGGGCCAGGAACCAATTAATTGGTTTTCCATTATTTTTTATGGGGAAAATTCGATCACAACTCGAACTTTTTAAGATACAATGGCAAAGCTAAAATGCTTTGACAGATATAAAATAAGTTTTGCACCACCTTAAAGATGATTTAAACATAATTGTCTTTGGCAACCTAAGACTTTTGCACAATACTGTATATTTTTCAATCAAGATGTATTTTAGGAAGGAAGTACACATCAGCAAAAAATCCTGAAATGTCCCTACCAGGTATAAAACATTACTAGCTTTGTGTATATCCAAAATATTGAAACAAACAAATATGATCTGAGGCCTAAGGCACCATAATTTTCAGAAAAATTGTCTTATTTATACTACAAAACTGTCCTGTCTAATGGCAGCAGGGGTTCATTGGTAACCTATAGCACCGGCGACAGTGAACTCACATTTTTAGGGCAGATAATGACTCTCTCATCATTTGCCCTCATTCCAGGAATAATCACAGCCATCTTCCTCGGGCCCTTAAACCCCAGCAAATTTTTCTCCTAACAGCAACAGACAAAAAGAGAGAGAAATTGTTGACACTATACCAGGAACTGTTGGTGAATCGGGGGCTCTGGGCACAAATGAAATCCCCCCCCTCCACCCCAACAAGACATAAACACAAACCAGTTATTCATACACAACTCCCTCTAAGCAAGAATGAAGAGCCAGGTTTTAATATTGCACATCTCTTCCAAAATAAATGATGCTTTGCATTATTACCATTTTCATCATTCAACAAAACAAAGGAAACATAACATATACACGCACACACACACACACACACACACACACACACACACACACACACACACAGACATATATAATGTGTGTCACACGATTACCAGTGTTAAAGGACGTTTTACAAAACACCAGACACAGTGATCATTTGATAACAACAAAATCACATGAAACTCTCAGGTAACCTCAAGTAAATGGCTACGGCTCTCTCAAAAAACTGAATCAAATTGGCCTAGTCTTGAAACTGAAGATACACTTGTTGCAAATCTGTCTCTAAATAAATCAATATATGCTACAACACATAAAAGGGATGGATGTCATAGCTCGATTTTTAATGCAAAATGGAACAAGAGAACAACAGAGGATTGTGGAACTGGAATCCAGTGCTGTAGGCACACAAAATTCTTTATGTGGATGAAGATGGTTTCAGTCTGGTCAAGACCAGGAACCATGGGAGGAAAGTTAGAGGCCATAGACCAATAATACAAATACCAGGGCAGAGAGTTTCAAACATTATTTTTTATGCCGTCATGTCAGACAGTGGTCCTGAAGCATACATCCCAGCAGTTGGTCCAAATAACTCTGTTAAACATTCCTTGATGAGCTTTTCAGACTTCTGCTGGTTGCCGAGGGGAGACAGGATACTGGGCTCAATGGCAAACATTGTGTAGTCATACAGGACAATGGCCCATTCCATCACTCATTTTCAGTGATGGGGTAGTTTAGGGCTCATCCAAGCATGTCCATTGAATTTGTTCCTCTGTATTCACTGTTCCTCAGTCCTATTGAAAAGTTCTTTCTGCCTGGAATTGAAGGTTTATGACCACGGTCCTTACAACAGAATGTCACTGTTGGATGCCATGACTGAGACTTTTAGGGCAATCACAGCATCTAACTGCCAGGGCTGGATCAGACATGCCTGAACGTATCCATCACGTTGCATTCCTAAAGAATATTTTATGTGACGTTGACGAATACATGAGGCCCAATATCCAGGACAGGACTGATCACACTCAGAAGTAGATTTTGATTCTGATTCTCAGGCAAAATGTATGTTTTATTGCACCCTGACTTTATCATTCATTTGTAAATGTTTGATTTTGTTGTTCATGATCAGGTTTGAGTTTGATTGTACCAGTGTAATGCCCAATACAGTAAAATTTCATTTCAGTGAATATGCATCTTCTCTTTTTTGCATTTCACTTTGTTGGAATTTCACCAACACTTCAATTTTTGCATTTCACCTATGTGTACTCATGTGTTTAGTCAGTGATGTTTACGGTGGAGCACAGTTTTTCTCAGTTGCTTATTCATAATTGTCAAACCAGTAGCCTCATTCTCAAAATAGCAAACATAGCTTGCTGAACGCTAAGACAATATGCAAAACTGACTCTGTAGTTCAAAACAATAAATGTTACAAAACTACATAACTTCCTCATCAAGTAACACAAGGTATTAAAAACAGTCTCACATACAAGCATTTATTGTATAATGACAGTCAAAATACTGTCCATATGTCACACTCAATAGTGGGACAAACTGTGGTCAGTCTTGACAGTGTGATGCTGATTTCTTACTAATGTGCAATGTTACAGAATATCACAGAACAGTTACTGCAATCCACAATAAAAACACTGAGTACAACTAAAATCATGATTGTTATGTACAGAAACAGATGGTCCAACACACACATATTACTGTTCTATAAAGTATTTTACTGGGCTTTATACAGTTATACACAGAATTGCTCACATCGGAAAATCAAAAATGTATGGATGATCAACACAAAAATGGTGCCTTTTAATTTAATCCTCTTATTCAGTCCTGTCCTTAAAAATTGGCCACGTGCATTCATCCATATCACATAAAATATTTTCTTTAGCAATGCAGCAGTGGAAATACCTTCAGGCATATTTAATCCAGCCTTTGGAAGTCTGATGCTGTGACATCAACATGCCCATAGTGTACAACAAAGAAAAAGATTGTATTCATACAACTCCCATCTCCAGGCTGAAAAATCTCCTCAATGGGATTAAGAAATGGGGAATATGGTGGAAGAAATTCCATGGACCTGCGTGGATGAACCCTAAACCAGTCCATTACTGCAGATGAGTAGTGGAATGGAACATTGTCCCATATAACCACGTATAGACTTCAGCATCCAATCCCCCTTCAGACACCAGTAGTTGTCTGTAGAGCTCATCCAGGAATGTTGAAATTCTAGTAGAGTTAAAAGGCCCAGCTGCGGGTATGTATGCTACAACACCTGATGCACCTAGTGCAGCACATATGGTTACATTAGCACCTCTCAGCCCTGGTATCTGCACCTTGGACCCATGCCTGATTACTTTTTTCCACACCTCCTTGTCTTGGCCAATTAAAGCCAGCTCCATCCACATAAATGAATTTATGTGGCACAGCAATGGATTCCAGCTTTATAATCTTCCGTAATGACAAGACAGGACAAAGTGAAATGAATGAATGATTGAATGAATGATTGAATGAATGAACATATGAAAAGGAATACAGTACTTCTTTAGTGTAAAACATGAAGTCACTCTACAAAAATGACTATAAGAAAAAATTAGACTTGTGCTGAAACTGTTGCTGTTTTGTTCACATGGGACTGACAATTGACTGTGTGAGTTACATCTCTAAGCAACTGAGGAAAACTGTAAAATAAAAGTAAGAAACATTGTGCTATAAACACCATCACAGTTTATTTCTCTGCCTCAGTGAGATATGTGTTTTGCAGTGAATGCAAGTTTGTAACTCCTGTTACCCTGCCTGGTGAGTGTGTGCTCCGACCTCCGTCTCAGTGTGAGTGTGTAGCTCCCGTTACCCTGCCCGGTGAGTGTGTGCTCCGACCTCCGTCTCAGTGCGAGTGTGTAACTACTGTTACCCTGCCTGGTGAGTGTGTGCTCCGACCTCCGTCTCAGTGTGAGTGTGTAGCTCCCGTTACCCTGCCCGGTGAGTGTGTGCTCCGACCTCCGTCTCAGTGCGAGTGTGTAACTACTGTTACCCTGCCTGGTGAGTGTGTGCTCCGACCTCCGTCTCAGTGTGAGTGTGTAGCTCCCGTTACCCTGCCCGGTGAGTGTGTGCTCCGACCTCCGTCTCAGTGCGAGTGTGTAACTACTGTTACCCTGCCTGGTGAGTGTGTGCTCCGACCT